ATCATCTGTTTTTAGCAATAACTTGTCAACAGAAGGGCAGCTCATTCAGACATATCGGAGATTTATTATTCAGACATCTCGGAGATTTATTTTATTTTGTGGGACAGGGAGTGTTAGAGCCAATAAACCTTCCAGTGGCCTGGGACAGGCGTTAGGTAAACAGTGCTGGACAAAATCACAGGCTGTGACGTCAAAAACCACCATGGCGGAGAGGAGAAGCTCAGTGAGGCTGAAAGGCCCAGCTGATCTGACACAGCGAAACTGAGGCAAATACATCCACTTTCCTGCAGCCTAAATTTCCAGTGACTGCTTAGAATCACCTCCAGACGGTTTTATCCAACTCCTGTAACGTTCGCTGGACTGTTTCGCAGTCAGTGCCAACGGATGTAAGCTTGTATTTCTCAGACATGAGGGTCATGCAGATTCAAGGTCCCAACATCGGCAGCTGATTAACTGGCTAAGGACCAACTGCTGTTGTACCCTTGAGCGAAGCTTCAGTAGTTAATCAGGAGGAATGGGTTAGGCATATGATACCAGCCAAATGTTTCACAGCATAAGAAACTGGGATAAAACATGCCTGCGAATCTGGGCGTAAATCGGCGAGCAGCCTGGGAAAGAGGCAAACAACACGCCCCGGTCTGGTGTCCTGCCAGAGGTGACTTCAAAGAAGTTCAATCCTTCTCCACAAGGAGTGTAAACAAGTAATCCACTCTATAGGACAGGAATGGACAGTCATGTGATTTTTACAGCCCTCCAATGAGAGAGCGGCTACCCCTGCGGGCCTCCCCCCCTAAAACCCCCCAGTCCTTCATGCCGCAAAATGGTTAACTGTCGTGACAAAGGTGAAGCCTCCTCAGAAGATGGACAAAATGTTTAATCACATATCTCTGGACCTCTTGGGGGGGGGGACGCTCTTACAAATATCACCCTTCACGAAGGCTTCCCCAAGGATTAGCACGAAAAGCTGATCACCAACAAAAGCCTGACACACTTACAGGCCAGGACTGTTCCAGAGCCGCCGCGCCTGCAGTGCCTATTATTAACCAGCTGTGCCTGCCGCTGGCCAGCTGTTGCCGCACGAATCCAGCTGTGTCTGAAGGTCGCCCGGCTGACCACCATCTCTCGCCCGGTGTCACTCCTGACAGAAGATTCCAGGCAGTGGAAACCGGAGTTTATCACGTCACCGGTGGAAACGAGGGGGGCTCGAATCCATTTGCATTTCTGGAATTCTATTTCTGTCCCTGCATCTCTGCAACTGAGCCACGACACAAGGGCCGATGGCAGCGACGCAGCACCGCAGCACCGCAACGCGCGTGCTGGCCGGGCCGCGACCTGCATCACGCACGCGACGGTGTGGGCCGCGACCTGCATCACGCACGCGACGGTGTGGGCCGCGACCTGCATCACGCACGCGACTGTGTGGGCCGCGACCTGCATCACGCACGCGACTGTGTGGGCCGCGACCTGCATCACGCACGCGACGGTGTGGGCCGCGACCTGCATCACGCACGCGACGGTGTGGGCCGCGATGACGAGATGGCGGCCTTCAAACAGGACCTGCCTGGGCCCCCAGACCTGTGTGCCGGAGGAAGCGAGATGATCAGCAAATGTCGTAGTAGGATGACCTCAATAAATAAATAACGTTTTGGGCCCATGAAGAGGTAGATCCAGTCCTGTGTCCAACCGTGGCAATTCAGAAACATAAGTTAGGCTGTGATCATCGGTTAGAGTCAAACTGCAACAGGAGATTAATGAAGCCGCCCACAGAGGCAGGAGTGCCAGACAGGGGGGGTGTTTAGGGTGGTTCCCAGGGGTGCAGAGTGACAGGGGCATGTAATTGGATTGGTCAGGTTGGGCGGCCCAATGTGATGCTTTCATGGGGTCCAGAAACTCCAGCAGCCCCCCTGTGCAAAGGCCAAGCAAACGGCAGGGCTGGCGAACACTGGCCCGGTGCACAGCCAGCCAGCGAGTCCACAGCAGCTCCCTGTTATGTCCAGGATTTATATCTTTATCTCACAGTTTCTCCGCGGAGCTCTTCTGATGAAGACGACTTAAGCGAATCAGCTTATCGCTCTCTGTCGCTACAGTGCCCCTGTGGCCAGGAGGCTGACTCAAGGGGGAATGAGCAAAAGACTCCAAACGAATTCTACACTGAAGACCCACATGTAAGAACCAGGGGCGATTCTAAGGTGTGGGCCAAAGAGGGCCTATAATTCACACAGCCAGGCCAGTTTTACCATTAGCCAATGATGTGTCTTGAATCAGTGAGAAGTAAGGGAGGGTGCACTCCAGGGGCCAATCAGCTTTCAGCTGGGGCTAGTGCCCCTGTGCACCCCCCCATGTACACTTCCCTGTCCAGAACAGACAAATGACTTCTTCAGCTGAGGTGCGGGAACCTCTGATTTCAATATTAAAAGCTCTCGGTGTCCTGAGGGTGACTATATGAGTTCTGTAGTACCTGGAACACAGAACACAGAGAATAGCAGACTGGGAATGTGAGGCACTGATATGCTGGTCAGGGGATTGCAGCAAATCATTAGGACCGCCCTCTCCAGCAGCGTCAGCACAGCAGGGTGGGAGAACTGAAATACGGCCGTCTGGCTACGGCAGGATCTGCCCCAGCCCATCCACGCTTAATTCAGCTCTCACGGAAGGTGACACCGTTTTCACGATCGTATGACAGCGCGGTTTAATTAGCCGGCGTTACTGTGATTCCTTCCCAGTATTCAGACCCCCGGACCTCATATTTCCTCACACAGCTTGATCTGTGTTATAAAGTGTCATGGGAGACACTTTAAAGTGTTGCTCATTCTTCTTAAAAATGTCACGCATCATCAGCTGTAAAACTGTATACAGCTCAGAGACAAGCCGTCAGTCTAATGGGTATTTATAGACCCATGTTTATAAATAAATAGCTTTTTTCCCAGGCATCTAAGTAGATCCACCAGACTGAGCTACTCCTGGAGACAGGGAACCCTTCACAAACACGCTACTGCAGACCAAACCAAGAACCCACTCCCTCCTTGTGAGAAAGACCTAATGTTTCCCGCCGTTTGAATTCAATTTCATGAACAGCATTCGATCCAATCCTGCGCTGGGCTAAGACCTGGCACCAGAAATCGGGAGTGTGTTGAGAGAGTAGGGCAGCCTATAAAGTATTTACCACTGTTTACACAATACCACTATCTCCTCTTTCTGTTTTTCTGTGACAGGCACTACGCAAGACAGGTGTCGGAAAAAGAAACTTTGGTGCCGACCCGACAGGGAGACAGGAAATACCCGCCCCTCTGCTTCCTGTCTTATAATGGCACGAAGGTCAGAAACGACAGGTCATTTTACACGGACTTCCTGTGCTTCTAATGACAAAATTAAAAACGTGTCTGGCTATTTTAGAATGATTGATACCGTGGATCACACCTATGTTGGCCTCTTTGGTTTCGGTATAGCCTTGAATTAGTTCCGGTTTAATTTAGCCTCCGTAGCAATGAACCAGCAAGGCCTCAAGTGACTCTTCATGAGTCGGAGACAGGGCCCTACACTGACAGTCCGGAGGGGAGGAAGGCAGAGATGGAGGAGGACGATAAGACAGCACCCCTCTGGTAGCCCATGACACTGAAAGACTGCCTGGCCTCAGAAATTGTGTGTGAGTTTAGGTTTGCGAGCGTGCAAATGGTGTGTGGCTCTGTGGGTTAGAACTCTGTGCCAGTAATCAGAAGGTTACTGGTTTGTATCCCAAGGGCATCCGATGGCTGGATGCTTGAGCAAGGCCCTTAACCCCAATCGCTCCAGGGACTGGCTGCCCCACCCCCTCTTTTCATTTGTACCTCACTTTGGATAAATCAGTCCTGCTAAATAAAACGTTTCTGAAATTAAACGCAGCCCTTTTGAGGTATTTTTGTGTTATTTCCCCACCAGAAATGCGTTTCCTGACCAAGGTCAGCCATCCAGGGATTTGCTCTGCCCAAAGGACCTGGACCCTGTGGAGGAGAACAGCCCACAGGCATCACATTTTAGCACGTCCACAAGTAGCAGGGCATTTATGTGTGTGTTTGCAAGCAAGCGTGTGTTTTATGCTGACATTTATGGGGGAGGGATTTTATTTTCTCCCCCAGGATACACAGTTGATGAAGAAGCATCTCTTTGCCAGACACAATATTTCATAACTGACATTATCCAGCAACCCCCAACCCCCCCCCCCCCCCCCCCCCCCCCCTGGACCGGCAAAAAAACGGGCCAGGTCTGCTCATCACACGTGTCCAGTGTCCATCGTGTCCAGCGCCCGCAATGCCCCCCCCCCAACCCGGTTCCGTCACCCACCACAGCCCCGCAGGCGTCCTGCGGGCACAAGGGTCGCTGCGGCTCTCTTACCTGCTACCCACCCGAGGACGGGACGGGACAGCCAGCCAACGGCTTATGCATGTTCAGGGAGCCGGCATCGGCGCTTAAGACAGCCCCGCATATATCTCCATAAGACAGCCAACACACACCAACATGAAATTTAACCAGCACTGAGGAAATGATCGGGCTGCACCGGAAAGCGCGATCAGCATGCCCCTAGTCCGTGTCGTGAGACGGATGACAGGAATGCGTGCACCGCTATTTCGGTCCATGCTGACGAATTAGACAGCACACCGGTCAAATCACACAGAAGTTAATCGGAGGGATAAACCTCATTGTTTCACATTATTATATTAGTATGTCAAACACGATTCACTACGCTTACATTGCAATACCTGCGTCCTTTCCCACTATCGACTAAAAGTAATTAGTTTGACTGTTACAAATTCATCTCGATGTCGGATTATAGCGATAATCGATATTCAGTCTGTTTACACATAAGCAGTACATGGGTAAGGAGAATGAATGAAGCGCTGCCGTATAACCATGCCAGTAAATTAAATGAAAACGGTAAAAAGGCAGACGGCTGAGGCTATAAAACGAAATGATTCCAGTGCCCTGCAATACAACAAAAAGCAGCGGGCACTCGGCGTGCGACTTACCGAGACGGAGCGGTGTGTGAGCGGGACGCAGCGTCCGCCGGCGCCTCCGACAGCATGTGCCGCCCGCCTACCGCATAACGCCGCGCTCACTGCAGACCGCATGCGGGCGAGGGGAGCGCGCTGAGCGCGCCTGCCTGGCCGTGTGTGTTTCTCTCAGTGGCCCTGCATGCCAGCCTTTACGGCCACGTGTGACTGGGCGTCTGTCTCTCTGTCTGTCCGTCTGTCTCGGTGTTTGCAAGACTGCGTGGTCCTGAAACGGACAGTTCCACTCTTTGCTGTACGATCTTGCTACTGATTTTGCGAGTAGAACATACACAACCCCCTTACCCCCTCCGAATCACGCACGTCTTCACCCACATTACTGTTCTCACGGCGTCCCGACCAGCACCAACACGCACTGCACCCCATTCGCCGATCAATACTCAGGTGCGACGGGTTTATCATGTATAATCAGAAATGTGCGAGGTAACCTCTTGCCAACAATCCGTAGCGGAATTTTCAGATCGCGTGCCAAGTTAGCGAGACCTCAACAATTTAAATTATATTAATATTTTGAACAATCGGTCTCACCTTCTCGAGTCAGGGAGCAATTAGCATGAAACACGCAACAGATAAGCTTAAAAGTTAACGGAACTTTCGAGGTTTATTTTTTCATTTTTAATTTTGCTGCGGGGGGAATTCATGCAAGAATCGGGTTTTGAGCTTTTGTACCTTAGCTGGCTGAAACAGCCCTCACTGCAAGCTTGACAGATGCGTTCCCACATTTGCAATTCTGTGTCTTGCTGACCTGGAGAAGCGGTTCCCTCCCTACGGAGTACAGGCACTAGCTAAGCAGGTCTGTGGGGTGTGAGAGGTCTGCTCTCTGGGGTGCCCAAGAAGCCTTCACAAACTCAAATGTGGCTTCCAGGTTAATGTTACATACCAGTATTAAAGTAAACCTGGCCCAGCAAACACTCACAGATCCAAGTCCCTTGGTGTGCAGCATAGTTATGAAAATCCTGAATGTGTCAACAGCAAAGATGCCTGTTCCCACGAGGACGACTTCTTTTGTGCCCTTGAACGCTACATAATATGATACGTACAGTAGGACTGCTTTCTCTTTCAGAAACAGATTCACCCAGTAATCAATCACACCTACAGTAATCTAGCACTTAATCTAGTAATCTATTTTATGTGTTAATAACCTGCTTAAGATCACTCAAAACTTGATCAAGACGTTCTTGTTCATTTTTGGGCACCTCTTCAGTCTGGTTCTCGATCTGCTGGTGGTCTCTGGCTTTGTGGCTCTGTTTTCCTCACCCTTTTGGTTTATTCTCTGAAAATTCTCTAAATTTCCCAGATTCTGTTTGCATCTTTCCTGACAATGTGTTTCGTCCTACAGTCTCATCCTTTGCGATCCTCATTCAGCTTGTCGCTTGAGTCCAACCCAGCTTATCTGCACAACCTTACAGTGAGCAGTGACAGTGAGCAGGCCCGGCCCTGTGAACACTGGATTCTCAAAAATCAGCCTGACAGGCAAGCAGCCTGCACTGCGCTTATTTGCTCATTCCGTTGCTCCTCGGTTTGAACTTGAGTAATGAAGTTTTTTTTGGATTCATTTAGCAGATGCTTCTGTCCAAAACAATGAGGAAAGCTTTGGGTCCGAGAGCAGGGTCAGTCTGCAATCATAGCCCCCAACGCAGGGCCAGTCTGCACCCGCAGCCCCCAAAGCAGCGCCAGTCTGCACCCCCAGCCCCCAACGCAGGGTCAGTCTGCAGTTGGTCCAACTCAAGAGCCCAGTAAATATGATTATGCTGCTGTCCACAGGACTGAAACCCACATCCTTCTGGATAAACACAGATCCCTAACCTGCATCCCTAAGACTGGAGCAGACAGACATGGTATGATGGTTTGAAGCTCCTTTAGTCTGTTCTGGGCAAAATTATCTACTGACACTGAAATTTGCGCCAGCCCAGCTCCCTGGTTCTGGGGGCTCAATCACATGAGCTTGATTGCTTACAGCAGGTTGATGTTGTCCACGTTCAAATGACTTCTCTGTGTATTCTGTGGGGGGGGAGGGGGGCAGGTTCAGATATGCAGACTATCCCCCGTTACTGACATTTTTTGCTTTTGGTGTGATTAGTTCACATTGGAAACATTACTGCTAATCACCATATAGAGCTCTGTGACAAGGCAGTGCCTGTTAGAAAGCAGCAAAGGAAAGACATTCTCCCACCTGAACACCGACACCGGGAATATCCCGCATCAGCGCCGTACGTGACTCTCTAACAATGTCACATTTCACAGCCCTTGGCAATGAGTCAGCACAACAAGGAGACACTGTCTTTCAGACCTCCTACCAGGCCTGACATAAGCTTTGAAATGTTGGGGGGGGGGCTCAAGGATTACCGGGGGGGAGGTGTGTGGTTCAGCCGACTAAGCGTCTGTGTCTATGGCCTCAAGGTCGCTGGTTCGAGCCCAGTGTCAGTGGAGCAGTCACAGGTCCATGGGCCCTTGAGTGAGGCCCTTACCCACCAGCTCCCTGGGGGCCACAAGGAGACAGACCCTTTGCCGTGACTCCAAGCTTGCCCACCCCTATATATGTGTCTCATGGAGAACAAGACAGATCAAAGTAAATTTCCCATGTAGCTTCACTACTCTATTTTACAGTTCTAAGGGGCCCGGGGGGTTGACCAAGCTTTGAGTGGGAGGGCCAGCCCCACACTGCCTCACCCCCCCCCCATAGAGCCTAGCCTGCCCCCCACAACAGAAACACACATTCACTGAGCATCGCTTTGCAACCATAGGACACATTCCAGATGATAGATAACGGGCCACGTTGCTTAGAAAAATAAAATTAACAGATAGCTGATTGGCTATTTAGATTATGAACATTCAAATTTTAATTCATAAATGTGTTGTTGATCTGAGCCAGACTGCGTATCTCGCCCTGGCAGGAGGGGGAAACAGCAGCTGTTACAGTCTCCTACCTGGAGGCCAGTCGATCTACAGGGTCATAAACCAGCCCTGTACTGCTTTCGCACGTACAGTGCGGCAGAGGCTTTTAAGAGGAGCCTGATGTGTTTCTGGCAGCTTGTCCCGCATGTCTGTAGAAAAATAGCTCAGGAGCTTTGGATCTGTGTCTGTCCGGAAGGTTGTGGGTCCAAATCCCAGCAGAGTAATCGTGTGACCGGTGAGTCCCTGGGCGACGCCCTTGACGGCTGTCGTTCCTGGATCGCTGTGCGTCCCTGATCACTGATCCTCACTTGTACATCACTTTGAAACTTCATAACTTCAGTTATGACATAAAATATCGACATGGTAAAGTAACACTGCCAGCTGATCTGTCACTGCAGTGGCTCATGGCACTGGTTTAGAAACATGCTTCTCGGCCTTGCAAACCATAGTGTGAACTGGGCCCCCCCCAAACTGGGCCCCCCCATCCGTCCATAATGCCTGGTCTCCTGTCCCTGGGCTTGGGGCTGCTGACTGGAGTAGCTGCCTCAGACTGAGGAGCACAAAAAGGCAACAGAGGGGTGCGGAAACAGGAAGTGGAAACAGGAAGTGGGACTCAAACACAAAACCAGAGTCCTCACTGCAAATCGAAAAACAAGACAAGCGGAGCAACCAAGGACAGGACAGCAGCAACCAAGAAGCGTCAAGACATAGACACCCAGAACCACAAAGCCCATGATAACGCTGGCAGCTATAAGATAAATCCAGGAATTCCACCAACAAGCGAAACCGAGTCCCTCAAACTACACTGCGAATCAAACAGAGCTACAAGCCATGTGCCCTAAGAGCAAAGAGGACAACTGTGCAGAGGCCAATGTTCACTGTCCAGTTTAAGATTCAGGGCTACCTACCACTGGATGAGCGTAAGATCACACAGACCAGGGTGATGCAGGACTGCTATGACGGCAGCGCATAACATTTGCCGCAACATGCGCATGACTGTGGCGTAACATGCGCATGACTGCGGCGTAACATGCGCATGACTGCGGCGTAACATGCGCATGACTGCGGCGTAACATGCGCATGACTGCGGCGTAACATGCGCATGACTGCAGCGTAACATGCCACAATGCAGAAGAATGATTCTTTCAGGACATAAAAAACACTTAAACATATCCTCCCATATAAAACAATGCACAATTAGGCCACTTATTTTATTTGCATAGATGACACCCTTTTATCTCGCAGCTCACTAATTATTTAATTCTAGAAACTATATATTGACTAAACCAATTTTTATACCTCAGAAATAACAGCAGAGATCATTCTGGAACTCAACCCTGCAAACTGGGGTCACCAGACTGTTCCTTTAACCAGGACTCCAGCTACTGGCCAATGACTGAAACCAGAATTTATAGGAGAGTCTGGACTATGGGTAACGTAACTAAACCAGTAATCTAATAGCCTGCATCTGGGCAATCGCAATGTCAGCCCTGCATACCATGGTGTCGGATTTTGGAAATGTGCCTCACCGTGTCAGGATGCCGTGCCTGTGATTGGAGGGTTACAGGCTCAAAGCCGTGCTCACCAGAGTGATGTCACCATTGGGCCCCTAAGCAGGGCCCCAAACCCCCAGCTTCTCCAGGGACAATCAGACCCTGTTTTCCCAGATATACAGTGGTACCTCAGAACTCGAATTTAATCCGCTCAGAACTCCGGATCAAATCCTAAAAAGTTCGAGTTGTGATCGAATTTTCCCCATAAGAAATAATGGAAAACCAATTAATTGGTTCCCGGCCCAAAGAAATTACACCTAAATATGTTTTTTTTAGCATTTAAACACAAAATGAACAGGATAAAACAAGAAGAGCACATATTGTACTAAACACATCTAAGCACATTTATCAAAACAGTAATTTGTAAAGTAAGAAAATAAATGTATCATAAACAATGTGTCCTGCCCCGATTGTCCGCTCCTTCCGTGTGCCACGCCCCCTCGTTAACCCCGTGTGGAATCCCCGTGTGATCAGCTGTTCCTGCTTGTTGTCATTAGTCCTCTGTATTTCATCCGTGTTTCAGTTTGATTCTGATGTCCGCGCCTTTATCTCCGTTCCGTCCCCGCTCGGCACGACAATACTATTATAATTAAACATTTTAATGGTTTATTATTAATATTAAAATAATGAATAAGAAATCTGTATTTTTAAATGTATTTAAAAGCTCTAGGTAATTTTTTTTTTAACTGGTTGGTTCGACTTTTAAGAAATTCGAGTTCTAATGAGTTTGAGAACTGAGGTACCACTGTATGTTGCTTTACATAAAAGCTTCTGCTAAGTAAGGAACATACTAATTTAACTGAACAATGAATGATTGTGGTTCTGCAAATAAAAAAAATTGTATACTTAAAGCCACTGTGATTC